CTCCCCATCGAGCTCCCCGAGCCCGGCCTGCAGGCGCAGAGCCTGCCCCCGCCCCGCTGCCCCAGGCCTCGCCTCGCCTCACCTCACCTCACCTCAGGCAGCGGTGGGAAGGGAGGCGGGACGTTCCTTCCCCGGCGCCCTGTCGAGGCTTTCCCCGCGCGTGCCGGGCAAAACCGTTCCCTTCGGCGTAAGGCTTAAAGCTGGCTGAGACTGGCGGGGCAAAAAAAGAGCATGGTTATGATGACCATCTTGCCGGTATTAATTAATTCTCAGGTTTTCTACAAATCGGCTATTTAAAAACCAACTTAGATATATGCTCAAGTAGTTCCCTCCATGTGTTTTCCCAGGCATGTGGGAAAGAGATGAAGCTAATCCTCCGCAAAAGCTCTGAAACAACAAAGTTGTGCGGTTGAGGCATATTTCTTAGAGCATTACCAGTCAGTTACACCAGTGGTAACACAAATACCGGTGTTTGTGCTCTGGGAATGGTAGCAGATTTTTGCATTCAGGATGGGACATCATTGATTTTCAAACGTAGAATGGCAGGTTGAAGCAGTTTTATGTATGGACCATGCTCACAGGGCAGAGAGCACCTGGGAATTGACAGGGGAAAGACTAGCTGCTCTTCTTTTGGTCTTTTTTGTAATGTTCTCAAATTTTATAGCACTTTAATAGTATAAAACATCAAGGATTTTTTAATACTGTGTGTCTAGTTTTTTATAACACATGTTCTCTGGCATCATTTTTGCACCTTATGGCCCCCTTTTTGAGGATTTCCTGAAAGCCAAGATTTAAACAACCGGCTTTCTATTTTAGGTGCCCAACTAAAATACCCTAAAGGACTAATTTTTCTCTGAAGGGCGTACTCTTTTTCAAAGAATTGGAGCCTGGTATGCATTTTGAGTCAAGGGCCAAAAGTGAGGGTGGTCAAAATAATGAATCTTTCTGAAAACCTGTTCAAGAGTATGTAAAGTTATGAACTTAAGTCTTTACAAATTTAAGATAATGTTTTCTATACTGTCATTTGTACTCTGAGTTGTACAAATTTAAAAAAACTTGCATATTTGTAAGATACACTTCAACTACAGTATAGTTCTGTAAGTCAAAGTCTCTGATGGCAGTAAAATATGGTTCTGTTTTCAGATATTTCATACAGCATTAAATGAATGTTTGGGTAGGAAGATGCATTGCTTGTATGTGTCCATTTAGGAGTCAGACTGAAGAATAATGAATTAAAGTGATTGACATCATGACAACCGTAAGACAGAGAAGGGTTGGAAAAGGCACGGAAGCGGCTGAAGATCAGCCTTCAGAGAAGAATGTGAAGCCTGATGGGAAAATTCTGTTTGGTAGGTAATGAAAAGGATTGTAACATTATGGCTTTTTAATTGCTATCCTAAGCACAGGTTAGAACTAGGTATGTACCAAACACATTTTCATACTTGAATATCTATCACCAAAATTAATTGGATGAGACAGAGGGCATGCAGATTACTGCATGTCAATCTCATCTCTATTTTAAAATCCTAATTTAAATTGGTGAGAACAATTTTTTTCAGTTTAGTATCAGATTTCCTATAGCCATCGTAGGTTCTTAAACAAATCTCAGTTCAAATCATTGGTAACATAAAAGGATTTGAAGACCTCTGATGAGTTGTACTTAAATATAAGCAGATTGCACATAAAATCTGAATTTAACTGCAAACCCTTGCTTTTTGACTACAGGACAGACCAGCTAGGTAAATTTAAAAGAGAGACATTAAGTGTCTTGATTCGATGATCTGTTTATGTCATGAAATACTGACAACATTTTTGTTTGCCAACTCTAAAGTTATAATTCCAAAGTTTGTTGGGTTTGGTTTTTTTAACTAACTTATTTTAAGGGATGTTTTGATCTAAATTCCAAATGTTTCTATATATGCAATTTGAGTAGATGAAAGGAAAGTTACATTGTTGTTTCTACATGAGTACACTTAGGCTATATACAAAATGGGAAAGTGATCATAGTTTTCATCCAGCCCAACCCTCAGTTCCATTGAACTGCATATTTGGTATCCATTGTGTAGATGTCACACACAGTATGAAAATGCCATTTCAAAGATATAATTCCAGATCACGAAGTTCCATATTAGCCTTATATCAACGTTAAAAAAACCCCAAACCTAAAAAACCAGGAACATAAGTGTACAATAAATTGATTGAGCTACCTAGAAAAGCAGCCTTTCTTTCCCATCATTCCATCTATGATCTTATTCTGATGTCAGCAGGAGGTCATCTGCAATTCAAAGCATGACACCATTATCAGAGGCTGCTTTGGCCGCTGTTCAGTGTCTTTGTGTGTATTTAGTGAGACTTCTGAACCTTCAGTGTTGTTTTTTTACAAAAACCAAGCAAGCCCTCAGAAAACAAGCAGCTGTTTTAAGATGTGTGAAGAAGATTTTAATTTCTTTCTTTGTGATCTAACAGTCATCCTGTATTGCCTTAATTAAAAAAAGTTGCCCTGGAGGATATTTCAATTTAGATTTACAAATTAGAGATGGTATTTATCTAGATTTGTGTAGGGTCATGGTATAAATTGAACTATCACTGCATTTTACCAATTAAGGCACACCTTATTTCACTTTGCATGTAAATAAAATACTCTATGTATTTTTGTTTGCTATATGAGAAAATGAAAACCACATCTCCATAAAGATCTCTTAAAACCAAGTGTCCTGTTACCTACAAAATGTAAACTGTACTAGCACAGGCAATGTATAAATGAATTTCCAAAATTCCTTTAAGTTGAATTATGTGTTTCACAATTACAGAGTGAAATATTTTTCTTCCAAGATCATACAGGTAGAAAGCTGTGGAACATACTCTCTATAACTGTTGGTGGAATTGTTGCCGTCTCTCTTGGACTTCTTACTTCTGTTTATGTTGCTACACTGCATGAAAATGACCTGTGGTTTTCCAATATTAAGGTAACAGTTGTTTTCATAGTTTCATCAGTGCTTTCATAGAGCGTTAATATGAGTGTTAGTTGAAATTCCATTTATTTATATATGTGTCTTCTAACTTGCTCAAAAACATAGAATATTTCATTTTTAAAAATTTAATTTTAAACAAGCTGTGCTTCTCTTCCCACCACTTTTTAAATACTTGATCATTTCTGTAAATACTTTTCCCCAGTTTTTCTCTAAAAACATTGCTATACAGCTCCTGCCTGAGTTGTAGCTATGGTTCTTCCAACCATTGATCATTATCTAGAATAGAATTTCAACAATCTGCTATAAGTTGCTCTATAGTCATCTTTCTTTTATCCAAAACAATCCAAAACCAAACAAAAAACGGTTAAAGTAAACAATACGCAAAATCCTGGCACACAGTTCTTTAATTGTATTTATACTGTGATATTGTAATACAGTTTAAGCACAGTCACTTACTATTCAATACTAATTTTATATAATGTTATCCTGAATGTGCAAACCTCAAAACATATTTCAGACATTCACCAACGTAAAACCAACCATTCCCAAGATCCAGGACTGACTAGTTTTTTCCTAGAATCATTGCATGGGAAAATAATGCAGCTGTACACATATCTAAATTTAACCAGAGGAAAGAAACAGGTGAGTCATTTTCCTTTTAGATGCCTAAAATTCACTCTGTTAGGTCTATGTATTATGTTACTCAAAGAGTATGTATATTTAGAATACTTGCATCACAATGTGTCTTTCCTATACTACACACTTTTTCTGTCCCAGAAACTTTTATATTCGTGTAATAAAAATAGTTGGCACTTACTGAAACAATTGCTGTTGTATTATACATATAATACTGTTTTGTACCCACTCTCATCTTTCTTTGAATATATAGATGGATTGTATGTATATTGAAGGTACACCTTAGGTTTGCGTTTTCCTTCCAAATGCAAGTATTGATTAATTTCACAGGTATTGTATATTTTGAAGTACAAACAGGCATGGACTTGTGGCAATGTATGAACATAACGGGTACAGCATTTTTGTTCTGTTGAAGTGATACAGCGGGACACAAAGTTCACTGAGAGAAGCGAGTCTGTAGTTGCAATTAAGTTGTCCCCCAATGGATGAAATGCTCATTTTATTTGATAATTATTGTTTTCATTTTAAGTACAGTAGAATGCCATTAGCTATCAAAACTGAAATAAAACCCTCTAGATACTTCTAGTCTGGATTCTGTTGTCTCTGTAGGTCTCATTTCATTCTATGGAGTTGGTATGATAACTAATAACATTGGAACATGAGCAATTTCAGCCAATTTGATGGAAAGATTCTAAAAAGCATTAAGTTCATCTACCAGCAGGTTAAAAGAGAAAGAGGTGCAGATATTCTCTGATCTCACGTTATACCTTCTTCAGTAAGATGTGAACTCAACCAGAGAATGCATGTGACTACAGTGATAACTTTAAACTGATAACAACAGGAAAAGCTTTAATGACATTTCACATATTATTAGATAAAATAACCAGTTGTAACATAGAGCCAAAAGTGATCAGGCTTCATACATACTCCTGCTTTTTGGAGCTATGTGTTCAGTGAGTGTATACTGTTCGTGTTTTTCATGTACACACACTCAACTTACATTGTTTCTAAGGATATCTTCCCAAATAGAAGGCTATAGCTCTAACTTGATTGATCAGACAAATGCAATTTATTTTGTAAACACTTACGTCCCAAGCGAGATTCAAAGGTACTTTTAAAGATTTGTTCTCAAATCATTTATTACAGCTTGAGACCAAAGAGGCAGTATCCCCTGCAGTTTATTTGCAAACACAAAGAAGGTTGGGGATGAGTCAAGTCTGATCAAATTTTCTGCAATTATCTGCCAAGTCAGACTCTGACTGTGCTTTCACTTTGATTAATACAAAGCTTTCCAAGGTTTTACTGTTAACTTAAATATAGTCTAGACTTGTTTTCTTGCCAGTATCCATCTCAGAGCATTTTGTGGCCGTGAGAATAGCAAGATAAAAAATCTAAACTGTATATTTTGATACGCTTTCTCTTAATTAAGCAGAGAAAGAATACATGGATGAGGTAAAGTTTAAACAAAATACTGTTTTGGGAGTAGTATGGGAAGAGAAGACTACATATGAAGAGCCTGTGAAATTTCCTGCAAGCTGAGACAGGAAGGCTCATCCTAACATCTGTAAAATAGTACATAGACATCTCTGTGCCTATATGTATGAGTGGACATTGTAGAATCTCTAGATGTAAATACATGTTTTCCAGCATTTCTGAATTGGCTAATCTTATAATTACAGCACATACCGTATACTAATAAAAGACAAGAATAAAATACACTACGGAACAATCTGAGATCCTCAAAAATTATCTTCAAAATAAATGGAAAATTTGCTTTTTTCTCTAACATTTTGTAGTTTGGCCAAAGCATATATTTTTGCATATATTAACTGAATTTTCTAAAAATTTTCAAAGAGTAAGTTTTATTTTAATGCGTACCCCAGCCCAAATTCTCAGAAGGGAGGATTGTAGTCTAATCCTTGGCACACAGTTATTGCATGCCTTGCTTAATGAAGCGCAGAAGTTATTTTGTTTTGTTTTATTTTTATTAAACATTACACATAGAATAAATGGATGCAACACTAATACACATCCTGTGTTTCATTAACCCCCATGCCTATGAAACATAGTAGTGCATCATCGCTGCTCTGAAATATAGGAAAGAAAAGAAATTCTAAATCGGTTATATTTCCATACATTTTAAATTAGTAACTTAGTCACTCTGAATTGGCTGTAAACAGTGCAAATTTGGGGATTTTATGTTACTAAAGTCTGATGTAAAATTATATAACAACATATTATCCCCCTGAACTTTATTCTTTTCTTACAATAAGCTACAATTAGTCAGATGGTAAGAATTCATACACAAAAGGGTATGTATGGCTACTAGATTAATATAGTGAGATGTAATGGGAGACTTGTTTTGTCATTTTTTCTTTTACGTGAAGGTACTCCTCTCTTTGTACGTCAGTAGAAGGAGGTCTGCAGTGTTTATCTGACACTTTTGCGCTAAACTAGACAGAGGTTTTTACATATACCATTTAGGTACGAAAGGTGGAATTCTTGTTCTGAAGACCCCATTGATACATGAATATCATGATTGCATAGTTACAAAACTGTGCAGTTTGCCAATTGTATTCAACCCTAAAAATTGAAAGTAAAAAGAGTTCATGGTGCAAAGTCAATGATTCTTAACTTCTAAATAATTGAAGTCACAACTTGCGTGTACACTTGTAATGATTGCCTTTATGTAATTTCAGTTGCAGTTCATAGAAAGCCAGTTCAGTTTTGGGTGTCTTCCAGCAGTGGTTCACCCAACTAGAAAAACTGTTCTGTGGTTGCTATACTGTTTTGTTCTATTTTGAATATGGCTTTCAACAGTGCGTTGATTTCAACTGCTGCAGTATGTGTGAATCTTGTTCTTATTTGCTAATAAATATGCCTGCTATTGTAAATTTGCCATGGTCATTGGAGAAAGATGTAAAATTGTTTTCTTATCAGAAAAACTGAAAATGCAGGTATTGAAGAGTGGTTTATGCTATGAAAGAGGTACATGATTGGTATTCTTTTTTTTATTCCAAGACTTCCTGAAAGAACGACTGAAAAAAATGAGAATGCAGAATGTCATGTCACATAGTCAGAAGCTGTGTTTGTGTACACTTCCAGCAGGGATCACAGAAAGTTATAATCACTTATCTTGACCAAACAATATTGAAGAAAAAAGTTTGAATCTCTTCTCATATACATTAAAACAACAAAGGTTCCTGTTTATGATGGTGAAAGCCAAAACAGATTTCTTATCCAAAAATCCTTTCCCAGTTTTCTGAGAAGTTTCTGGCACGACACATATAAAATGGCTAGTCTATTTTCAGTGATTTTCAGTAGCAGTTTAGTGACTGCTCCTCAAGTATAGTATCTTTTGGGAACAGGATCTACTATGAAAATAACAAAATATGGGGGGTGGGGGGAGAATTGCATGACCTCTCCTGTCAGATGTTGTATTGCTTGTGCAAATGCAAACTCTGAAGAAACTTTGAAGAGGGATGAGCCAAGGCCACATAGCAAATTAATACTGTAACACAAACAGGTAAACTTCGCAGCTTTCATTTGTTCTTCATCCCTTCTGAGTAAGCAGACTACTATTACTGAATTTTCCTTTAATAAAATTGCTGCTTGCAAGAAGTCAGGAATAAAAATACCAAATTTTAAATCTTTCAGACATGAGGATAAGAATCCTGGGATTCCTTCTCTGAAGTGCTTATATTTTCTCTTTTTATATTTTGAATATAGAAGAAAGATGAAAAAAAGTGGGGAAACAGATAGCCAGCTAATTAGAACGTGAATGCGTAAGCCATGAAGAGAAGGAGGGCAGTCCAGTACTTTGGTGATACTTTTCCGAAGAAGTACCTGTTGAGTTGTTATGGGTACTTTTACTCTGGATCAAAAGTCTGATCTGAGTAGGAACCATGCCATTCTAGCAGATGGGCATGAGGTTAACCAGCCAAAAGACCATGTACAAGGATTAAATACATTTGCTGAAGGCAGGATTCTCAACCCGGAACACTGGTAACAGCTGGCTGTATTGATTTTCCACTTGTATGACTGAGACAATTTTCAAATCTTTCTGATCTTAAATTGAACAACTAAAAAATATTTTCAATTACACAAGTTGTGTTTTAGCTGTGTCAAAAAAGAAAAGTAATTGGAGATTTGCTTATGCTCTTTGTTTACAGAAAAAAAACTCAACTCAGACTTTGGCTGCTTGCTCAGTATTCTGAATGACTTGGTTAGGGAGTTTGAGGAAACCTAAGCTCTAGAATTTTGCACTGCCCTTGAGAGAAAGTCCTTTGTATTTTATTTTGAATGCTTAATATTATTAGGATACAACTGCATAAATTGAAATCACATGCAACTCTATATGTATCCTGGAGGATAGTGTTCTTTTTTTTTTTCCTTGGAACAGTGATAACTTCTTTGTTAAAGACTCAAAAATTGAATTTACAGAAAGATAGACGTGCTCTTATAATGCTTACCCATAAGTCTGTATGTTTTTATTGACATGGAATACTAGGGAAAGTATAAATTGCTGTAGAACTGGAAAAGTATTGTGAGTGAATAAAACAGATGTTATCTTAGCATGAAACAGATGTAAAACTCACTAGTGTTTGTCTCATAAAGTATAGCATTTGGTTGAATACAGCTGGTGCCAGGATTACAAATTAATCATGTTTGAATGCATTTTTGCTAATTAGATCCCCCTCTGTGACTACTCTCTCCCCCTTAATAAATTCCAAATGAACATTCCTTCTTTTTTCTTTTTTTTTTATGAGCACTTAGAATCAGCCACTTTTTGGTATTAGAAACTTTTCAGTAGTGATGAATTTGAAGCTAGACCTCATTCAAAATCCAGCATTCTCATTTTGTTAAGTGTGTGGCTTTTAGTATTTAGTGCCAATGTCAGTTTCTTCTGCTGGTATTACAACAATTTTTATGTCGTAGAGCAGCTGGAGAGTTTAATTGTGAACTTACATTGAATCAGATGTGGTTTTATCTGTTGATTTTTCTCAGACCAGAACTAATATTGGTTTAGTTTGTCAACAGTTGACTTCAATAAAACACATGTTCTGAGATAAGATTCTATACTGGGCAGTAGAGGAAGGAGGAACATGATTTTTCATCTATCTTTATGTTAGCTCTGAAATAGTATTGATTCTGTTCCAGCAAAAGAGATGGGACTGTACAAGAAAGATGAAAGTCTTGGGATTCTATGTAAGGTTGCATTAATCAGAATGGCATTCATAAAAATCTCAGAAAACAGTAACATTCTGTTACTTCAGTAATGTTCTTTTGTAAAGAAAGCTGAATTAATAAGATTATTTTTAGAAATCTCACTTAAATTTCATAATGACTTGCATACACCACATACAGGAATCTCATAGGATTTTCAAATCTGGATATAAACCTTTTCAAACTTACTGCTTATGAGAGATATTTGCTTAGATGTTTTTATATAAACTATGAAAAAGATCACTAATAATAAAACAATTTTCTGTAAGATGCCTATTAGTTCTCTTCAGATCGGTTGTTCATGCAGTCTTATTGTGTTTAAATGTGGTTGCCCAAGGCTCTGAATTTGTTAAATTTCATTAGGTCTTCATAACTAAAGAGGTCACAAAAGGAGGTGAATTCCAAAGCAAAGATCCTGTACTGAGGGCAGTTTTCTCTAGGAGAGCTTTTATATCTCACTTAGACTCCACCTGCTGCAGTATCAGCCAAGAAAGAGGCATAGTTTGAACTGTACCTAATTTAAATAATTCGAACATTTTTAAAATAAAAATAATAACTTTACCTACACCTAAAAACAAGTAAAGAATCACTTTTCCTTCAACCTATAATTTAAGTATGAGAGTGATGAACAGCTGGCTTCCTGCAAGAAACAGCGTTTAACAAGTGGCCAGCAGCATACCCTGCCAGCTGAAATATCAGAGTGGCTTATGGTGCAGTCCCAAGTATAGCACGCTGAATTAATTGAGCCTTAAGGTGGCAAAGCCGTGGAACACTATGGGATATCTACATCTGGAAGAAAAGGTTAAATGCATGGAGCAAGCATATGCCGTTTTAAAGTCCAGCTGTTGGCCACTATCTAAACATTGAATATTACAGAAAAATAGTAAAAGATCCAAAATGTTTCTGAACAGCATATCAGAATCACAAAAGGCATATATATTTTCCCCAGTTAGCAAAAGCATTGACACCTCAGCCATTTGCCTCTCACCCTAATTTGTCCATGTATTTTGCTTTTATTTGAACTAAGTTGCACAGAATGCATGAACCCAAAGACTCAAGCCACTGTATAGGTCAATTTCCCTGGTACAGCAAGAATTTGAGTTGAAAGCAGCTTCATATGATTGTGAAAAGCAAATGGAAAATGAATTTACTAGTGAACTTTCATTTGCAGGAAGTTGAAAGAGAAATTTCATTCAGAACAGAATGTGGACTTTATTATTCCTACTACAAAGAGATGATTCAGGCTGCTTCCATCCAGCAAGGTATTGTAAACTGTAAAGTAAGTTTTACTTCATGTTGCCAGATGACTATTTGTAATACTTTTTCAAATATAGTCAAGAACAAGGAATACCATAACTGTGAAAGATAGTGTAACAATTGTACTGGAGACAGATTTATTATGTTCATACGCCAGGGAGCCACTAAGTTATGGACATAATAAATTTCACAATGATACATTGGTTTCTGTGCCACACCTTCACGTTCTGATGAAGGCAATCACTTTGAGGGACAACTTTCGTATCTGTTAAGGTTTCAGCCTTGCTGGTTTATTCAGTATATTACTGTCATTTTTATTCTTCTCTTGTTTAATTTGAATTATGAGCTGTTTGTGGGAATGGGGCATTTTTTTTTTGTATGCCTGGACAGTAAGTGACACAATGAGCAGCTTCCAAGGAAATCATATACCATGATGGGGTTTTCTGTGACAGTCTCATGTTTTCTAGATACTTAACTGTTGCTCCCTAGCAATTTGCTTATATTACACATTTGTCAATATTAACATCACCTGTGTTCAAAGTGGTGACAAGAATGGTTCTCAAGATCCAGTATGTGCCACAGATTCTGTGCTAGGAATGTAAGTGTAATAATAAATGTTTTATACATTACTAAATATATAGTACTTGAATTAGCACTCTGAGTCACATTCGAAGCAGGGAAACTGAAGACCTCAGAAGGTCATGTTGATTCAGAGGTAATGTGATCTGAATCCTTGACTCAAAGTTTGCAGTTTTTGATGAGGGATCCTAAAAGACCTTTGAAAAAGTTATTCACTGTTCAAATGAAGATGGAGGGGGAAAATGACAATCTCCTATTTCAATTTCTCTTTATCGTTAAGGTTTACATGGTTTAGTATATGACAATAAAACTGAATCTGTGAGGACAATTAACATACTTGAAAGAATGAATGTTTACCAGGAGGTGTTTCTCAGCATTCTGTATAGGATTCTTCCAATTCAGGTAGGCATTTATTTATGGCTTTAGATTGTAAGTGCATTATGAAGATTGCGCAGTGAATCATAGCTCCCCTTTTTAGTTATTTTCTAATTAGAAATATTCCTGATACCTTTTTAATTTGTAAAAGCAAAACCTAATTCATATTAAGTATAGTCCCCCCCATGAGTGTTTTATGTCAACATCAGTATTCTTGTGTTTTACAGCAATACCTAGAGCCCGTTTATTTTTATATCTACACTTTGTTTGGACTTCAGGCAGTTTATGTCATTGCTCTGTATGTAACAAGCTGGCTTCTTAGTGGAACGTGGCTTTCAGGGTTGTTGGCAGCTTGCTGGTATATTACAAACAGGTAAGTGAGATTAAACATTCGATCTTTCTAAAATTGTACCTCAAAGGTAAGGCATTAAACCTTCAAATGCATGATTAATTGGACAAAAAAATGGAACTATAAGGCTTCTCTCCAGATTACCCAGAAAATGGAAAAAAATGTTTAAATATTACAAAATTATTAGAAAATAATCAGAAATGAGCTGACATTGCAGACTAGGATTTTAAAGTTTCAAGAAGTTTGAGTAGAAAGTTTTGGCTTAACTTGGTCTCTGAAAGTGGACTACATCTTTCAGATATGTCTGGTTCTCCAAATGATGTACCCTGTCTTCTCCAGCCTAGAATCCCTTAGGTGTTAAAGACACCTGCATATATGCCCTTCAGGTCTCTCCTCTGCCCCACACCCAATCTCCAGGGATTCCTTCAACAACCTAAGATCATCAGAAGTTCAGCTTCTCTGTTCCCTTATTCCTGTAGACATCTCCTGCACTAAGATTCAGAGAAAAAAGATGGTAATTGAGCTGTTCGAGCACTTTATCACTTGAAGAATTCTCAATTTGGAGAGAAAAACTAAAGAACTGGCTTTATGCCAGCAGTAGGCTGCTGGCATGAAGCTAAGACTGGTGACATAGGCTGTTATCTGTAAATTAATCAAGAAAATAAAACTACAGTGTCGGCTCTATCAAAACTGTTTGATATGTTAATCAGCAGCTGTAAAGAACTTTATCTGCAAGCATGTCCATTACAGAATAATTATAGGTATATAGTGGTAAAACGTTTCTTTCTCCAAAGATGAAAGTAATTAAAAAATACATGCAATGTGCAGTAGTTCATGTTTATTTCATGAGGTCATCTTTTCCATTTACAGAATATTTGGAGCAGATTTGTTTTGTCCATCTTTGTAATAGTTCATGAACAATGGAAGCTTGTTATCCTTTATGCAAATAGAATCAGTGCATGGAATTGATCTGGATAAAGACTTTCTGTCCAGATGAAGTACATCTGAGGCTACTGAGTAACTCCATTTTAGACATTTTTTTCATCCAGCTAAGCGTGTCTCAGATGTGTTGCTTACTTTCCTTTTTAGATAACGTTTTCTCTGCACAAGAAAAAAGGGAATTATTTTTTGGTTTTAACTTTTAATTCAGGTTTTGTAAATGACTGCCATTTGGGAAGCTTTTACTGACTTCCATCACATACTTTTTACGTTAGAACATTCAAAAAATGACCAGAAGTTCCAAATCAGTTTAGTGGTATTCAAATGCATTGCACTGGGATCACAGTGAAGAAATTGATACCTGTTTATTCTTATATGTACACTTTTTGCAAACGAAAAAATGAAGTAAAATTACCTGTGGCGTGAACACTCCACATGCTGGATTTTGGGAGTGTTTTTGTTGTGGGGTTTGTTTGTTCATTTTTAAATTACCCAAGCTGTGCTTCATAAGTAAGATTTAATCCATAGTATAAGTTTTTTAACAGTAAATGAAGCTAAAGTACAACATTTGAGGTACAGAAACAATGGATGACTTGCAGAACCTTCATAATGATGTTTTTTCCGAGCCAGGCACGTTGAAGGAACTATAGTGTAGAGCCTCCATTTTTATCAATAAGTAGTTAAAATACCACAAAGATGCCTGTCATTGCAACCTCTCTGTCACCAAGTTGGTGTTTTATTTGTTTTAAATTTATGAAACTCTGTTTGTTTTGTACAGAATAGATACTACAAGAGTAGAATTCACCATTCCTTTAAGAGAGAACTGGGCACTGCCATTCTTTGCTGTTCAGATAGCAGCCATCACATACCTACTCAGAACTCATCTACAGCCTGTTCAAGAAGTGAGTATTTCTAACAAGTATGACACAGTAAAATTAGTATCAGAAAACTGTCTGTAAAACTTAGGACAAAATACTTAATACACGTTTGTATCGGTGGATATATACACACACAAATCACTTATAATGTTGAAAACATTAATCAGATGAGCCTTCTGTTAATTTAGATGTAGTTGAAATAAAAAGGAATGCATATGCTCAGCACTGAAAAAAAAAAATAAAGGTAAGCTCTAAAGAGTACAAGACAACAGTACTGTGTATTTAAGAAAACACGAGAGTAACACGAAGTGGGCAGAAGAAAAGCTTGTAAGCACAAGGACTAAAGATTTTCTTTTGATTTCATTTGTTTTACGAATTTAAGAGGTTGTCCTGATCAGCAAGAATAAAAGCAAATTGGTGATACAGTTTCTTTGACAAACAGTTCTTAAGTTATCACTCCTCAATTTGATCAAATAACTGTTATTTATAGCATAGTAAAACATGTATTGCATGTTAATCTATGGGCTGAAGCTATTTGAGATCTCAACATTTTCTTGCAAGTGGTATTACAATGGTAAAATACAGGCATAAATATAAGAACCTGTAACTAAAAAATGTTCATTATCCTCCAAGCAGTTATTGCAGCTAGAAAACTCATTAATGTTGTAAAAATGGATTTTAAATAAAACCAAATTAAGGTGGGTTTTGGTTGGTTTTGGGGTGTGGGGGGTGTGGTGTTGGGTTTTTTGTTTGTTTTGTTTTTTAACAAAGGAAACTGTACAGTTAAATAAAACTTTGTTCCTTCCTTCCAGAGATTGACACTTACGGCTGTATTCATATCAACGTTTCTCTTTAGCCTGACTTGGCAATTTAATCAGTTTATGATGCTGATACAAGCATTGGCATTATTCATACTGGACTGCTTTGACATGCTTCCTACAGCAAAGGTAAGATTATGTTTGGAATAATCAGATTTTTTCTTTTCTATCATAAAGCTAACAGTTTTGGAGGTATTTTACTAACCGGTGGCCTGAATGCCTGAAGTAATACAGATTATACACTGTGCTGCTTTGTGCTTTTAAGTAATCACAGTGTATATACTGCAAGTGTAAAAATGAATGATCAAAACAACACCATTTCTGGTTTTTTTTCAGCTGATTTTATTTCACTTTATGTAATTCATTCCTGTTGTTTAATTTTTGTCTAGTTTTGTTTAGACACAGCTATGTTTTGACATTATTAAGGGATTGCTTTTAAATCATAACAGTTGATCTAATACTACAGCTTAAGCATGTCCTCTGGAAGCAGCCAGGAAAAAAAAAAAAAGTAGCATGACAAATCTTTGCCTAAGCTGAAGTCATAGCAATGTATGAATTTTGCCTCAAGTACTGTGCATCCTTGTTTTAAAGTTCGGTGTAGGCACTGTACCACAGAGAGAAGGAAGTAGACCGACCAATTGCTCAAGAGAAGCAGTTACCTTTTGTATGTTGAAATTCACCACAAAATAACAACATTGTCACTGCTATGTTGCTGAACTGAATGAGACAAAAAGCAAAATAAGCATCAGGCTTCCCTAAATATAAAATAGGTATAAAATATTAACCTAACTAGTTCAGGACATAAATATAGAAAAGATATAGTAATGGCTTTAAGTGTAATGATTTAGTGCGAGATGATACATTTTTTGAAAAAATAGTTGATACTGAAATAAATTATAAAACACATTCAAAGAAAAGCAGCTATGACTGTAAAGTTTTGTAGGCATAAAAATCTCATTATTGTTACAGGTTACGTGGCTCTATATCATTCAGGTTTCTGGATTACTGCTAGTCTGTGTCCTACAGTTCTTTAATTCAATGATCCTTGGATCATTACTTATAAGTTTTAATGCTTCTGTCTTGATAGCAAGAACGATCCAGGTAGGTACCGAAATATTTTTGTAGTACTAAATAAAGAGTGTGATATCTATATATAGGTAAATGAGTAATTTACATGCATTATAATCTTAAATTACTAATACTAATTAGAGGAATTACTATAGTGTAAAGCAACAAAAACATTGCATGATCAAATAATGAATTCAATTACACTAACTACAGCATAACCAAGCACATCAGACATCATAATTCTGTGATGGCTATTAACATTTATGATTATGCAAGCTGCAGTTTGGATCCTGCAAAAAAATTGCATAAACGGACTTTACACCTGTTTCAGCAAAAATCTGCCTCCAACAAAATATTCTGTGAGAACTAGGCACATGTCAAATTCAGCTTACTGAAATATATTGTTTATTTCAAAGATTAAGATTTTTTCCTGTATTACAGTTCTCTTTGTTCTGATACTGGCATTGACGGCAGCCTCTAACCAGAATGTATGAACTTACAGGGCCATTCTTGCTGTCTCTCACTTGTGACCTTTTAAAATCAGGACTGTGGTTTTTATAGTTAGACAATGTCTGCACCTACTCCAAGTTGCCTGTGAGCAGCCGAAGAACCGTTACCAGATCTGGAGCTTTGAACTGGAAAATTGCTCAAAATCCTATCAACTGACAGTTAGAGCCAGAAGACACCTTTGCCGTATTTAGGTGGAAGGTCTAATGAAGAGATATTTCAAAAGGCACATAATACTATTGAAATTAGGGGAATCTTGGAACACAACCACAGTTGCACTGAATGCCAGCAGTTGTGTAAATATAATGGGGCCACTTCTGACGGAAGGCTGTTTGGCTAGTTACAAAACTCTGCCAGATCAATACACTGGGGAGTTTTTATGATATTGTCCCTTCAGTTTTGTGGAAGAAATATATCTTTATTCTGCATGCTTGGTTATGTATACATTTTTGCTTACATGAACCTAATACAAATTTGATCCTGATCAGGCCTAGCAGATAAGCTATTTCAAATAGTCTGTGTTGCTTTTGTTCTAAATACATACAAATGTACTGAAATACTAATATTTTGTTCCAAATACATACAAAAAAGTACTGAAATACTAATATTTTCTTCTTTCTAGAAAAACCTAAAAAAGGGCTGCTTGCTTAATAGGCTTGGGAAACTTATCCTCCATGTATTATTAGTCTTGTGCTTGACTCTCCTAATAAATAAATTCATCAAGGTAAGCAAATAATTTTTAATATAGATACAAAATGTATTACATTAAAAGCTATTTGTTAACCATCTACAGTAATGTCATGAGATAAAAATTGCAATGAGATTTCACTGCATTTCAGAGGCTGCATTTTAGAAATGAAAGATCATTTTGCTAATATTTTTGCTATATAGATTTTAAAACATAGTCTTAAAACTTCATAAATTAGCACCAAATAATCAAATACGTATTTGTACCTTGGAGAGCACCTGTAATTTTATAACAAGTGTAGATTTATACTGCATTCTGATACTGCTGTGCATTTGCAAAGTTTTTCATTGAATTTACTTTTCAATGAATGCAGTTAAAAATGAATACTTGTTATAAAAATGCTGTAGACCATACTATACTTTTAGTTGCTTCTTGTGCACAGAGATGTCTGCAGACATTAGTAACAGTAACACTTTTTCTGCTTTTGAGTTTTGGTCTTTTCAAGAGGTCTATATCAACAGATATAGTACACATGGAAATTAAAACTATCACAGTAAGATACGATAAGTCATTGAAATAAAAAATACAGCTAAAACCAACTTATCCTGGATAATCTTTATCTGTAAATAAGAAACTAACCCTAATAGATATTCTAAGAAGTAAGTAACTTGCCCTTTGGACCACAGGACTATAATTACAAAGTGAATGCTTATTTGATTGTAGAGCACCCTATCAGTAAGCCTGTGTTGCTTCACAGTTTAATTTAAATTTCACACTTGCTGTGTGAAGCAAGTTTTTTGATACTTAAAATATAATTTCCTTTCTTTTTCCCCTTTTGTAGAAAATTCTTAATCTTGAGTCAGATGAACATATATTCAAATTCCTGAAAGCAAAATTTGGATTTGGGGCAACAAGGTATGATTTAGCTGCAATTTTGCTTTTTTGTATGACTTCATTAAGTGAAGCCTGCAGGTTGTTCTCATTTAAAATCTTGGTGGTAAATCGTGGATTTTTACATCATGTTTATGTCATATATTTTCCTTCATGATAATCTGCACAACTGTGGCTTTATAATTTCTTGGGAAAAAAGGAAACTTTGGTTCTTTTTGACATCAAGTTATGAAATACATAATGACAAGGATTATTCTTTTTTCTTTAGAGATTTTGACGCTAACCTGTATCTTTGCGAAGAAGCTTTTGGTTTACTACCATTAAATACTTTTTCAAGACTCTCAGATACATTACTTTTTTACGTCTATGTATTTGTTCTCGTCCTTACGACAGTAGCAGCTGTAATTGTTGCCTTTCGGAACCTCAGGTAAAATGTTTTTAAAATAATTCACATCTTTATCAATTTTCTCTTCTTCAAGAGGCTAAGGAACTGACAGTTGAGTACAGCAGCATACCGTATTACTTTCCACAGGTACTAAGGAAACAGTAGGACATACAATAGAGAGATCAGGCAAAATAAGTAACTTCCTATTAAAGCTAAAAATGTAAAGGATATAACAAGACTAAGTAAAGAAACATTCTTCCTTAGATTCCTTCAAGCTCTTTTGTTTGCTGTTGAAGTTTTGCAGTACGTGTAGGGTTGGTTGGGTTTTTTAGGGGGGCGGGGAAGCAGGGGAAGGGCGTCTTTATAGAAAACAATGTTAGTTTCTTTAGTTCATCCCATTTTCCCTGTGCAAAGCACTCCCAATCAAAGATTTCCCTGATGGTATCCTCAAACTGCCTAGAAATGAGCAAGGATAGTCTGTGCTGAACTTCCTGTGATCTGTGTGAAGAAGCAGGAGTGGTAGACTGCAACTGTGCCTCACTGCTGCCAGTTCCTATAGCTAATCTGTAGGATTTGGAGGTATTTACAAAATACTAGAAGAAAATTCGTACTGAACTGCTATTTAAAAAAAAAGTAAATGGTTCATTATAGACCTCTCAGTTTTACATTTACAACCTGGGCAAAAGTTAGAAGGGATGTTGTAAAACTTGATTAAGCAAAAATTCAAGGAGAGTCACATAACTAATGTCTATCATCATAGATTTTATGGAAAACAGGATAAAAGGGGGAGAGAGAGAAGGGGAAGGAGAGGGAGAGGATCTAAGACATTCTGAAACTGTGTTATGATAATTGTGAAGTAATAGTCATCTGTAAGACATTTTGATACTATTCAGCCAGCCTCTTAAAAAACTCACTGCATTAATCAATTTTAAAAACAAACAAAAGACTCTGCAGCTCTTACTTTCTGTAATCCTAAATGTAATCCCAAACATTACCCTAATTTTTAACACTGGCCATTTATCGCAATTATCCCCCACCCAAAAAAACGGGAAAAAACCCACACATTTAAGCAGCTGCTTTATTTTGACCAGCCTTCCACATACATTCACAAGGGTAGCCACATCAAGCAATAACCAATCCTTTCAGCACTTCTTTTCTGTAAATTTACTTCCAATCTATGGCTTTAGTAACATCCAAATATACCAGCACAACCCCACAAAACACAGTTAAGTTCTTCACTCTCATCAACAGCCCTGTGAACCCTGTGAGAGTAGCTGCTTCAAGCAATAAACTAAGCATGCCTTTCTGTAAACAATTTTATCTCATTCTAAACCAGCTCATTTAAACCCATTGCATTTCCAGAAAACTAGACATGAAAATAAACACCTGATGCTGCATCAAGTTGGTGCTATCAGGCTTAATTATATCATAGATACAATAGAAGATTGTGGACTGATAGCAATAGTATTGCTCTTTAGCATCAGAAGGTTTAAATGCTTTTTAAAATAGACAACTGTATGAAATATGTTACAGAACTTAATATAACACTTTTTATTTCTTCTATTTTATTAGTGGTTCAAATCAAGTCCAGTTCATGAAAAAAATGGGAGAATGCACAGTAACACTGAAGCCTGATGCTGCTTACAACTTAATTCACACAGTTCTTTTTGGATGTCTGGCATTAAGCACAATGAGGTATATTTTTTTAAATTCTACTAAAGGCTTTTTTAGACAATTGAGTATATTTTTATAAGAGAGTAAAATATGCTGACCACAAACTGATAGGATCATGAACCTCCTTTCTCTCCCTGGTGTGTTTCCCAAAATTCTGCCCGAAAGAATGTTTGGAAGTTGGGGAGCAGAGGTGTTCTCAAGAGCACATAGCAAAGTGCAAAGTCAGTCTTTTACTCAGTTATTTCAAGTCCTGAAAGTCCAAGAAAACTGTGTTCAGAATTTCTCTAACATAACTGCTCTCATCAACACAACTTAGCAGAGCTCCAGATGATCAGCAAAAACTTGTCTGTATTCTTCCAGAATGAAGTACCTCTGGACATCCCACATGTGTGTGTTTGCATCTTTTGGCCTGTGCAGTACGGAAGTATGGAAACTTATCCTGAAGTGTATTCATCTCTACACTTCACAGAGGGTTAGCACTATACTTGCAGCATTTCGTGAAATTTGTTCTTGCTCCATATGTAAATCAAATCAAGACTCAGAATTATAAGACATCTGACATGAATATTGTTTGTAGTCCTCTTAAACTGGGTATCTCTGAAGTACATTTGTATAAATTTAGTAAGTAAAATGTATTTTCTAGTGGTTTATATATTAAACAATTCCATTTGAATACACTAGATGGCAATATAGATGTGGCTATGAAAAATAACCACAATTTTACTAAAAAAGTCTTAGTCACATATTAAGAAATCATCATCAGTCTGAGAAGAGCTTTACAGTCTTATACTGAATGATACAGTGTTTTCCACTTTGTAAAGATAGGTCTAAGTATATAGATATAAATCCATCATTTGTGATGGGTCTGTAATAAGGGTTTTACTTGAAAACAAAATCAGAATATGGTCTTAAAATTCAAACTCTCTAAATTCCACCACATGATAAATATGTCAGATATCAATACCTTAAAAACTAAGTCTATGCAAATAAATGTATCATCAGAATAACGGATTTTTTTTTGCGATTTCTCTTAGATGCATGTGATTAAGTATTCTATACCAATAATTACATTAATATACATTTCATATAAGGTAAGAGATTTTTTTTCTTAATGTTTTGGCATTTTTTAGTTGCATGGAATTTTCCTTTTCTCATAAAGGGATGTTGTTTTATAAATAATTACATACAAGATTTGTAGCTGAATTTTAAAAATCGAGATAGACTACCTGAAGTGCAAGTACCTTTATGCATATGAAATTCTATGTAAAGGAGCAGTTGGGCTCATTTGATCCAAAGTAGTTGTTCATAAATACAAATGTTTGTCTGATTGTATGTGTAAGTTACCAAGTGTTATTTAATTGCATAATTTTGTGGAAATTTAAGTTGTCTGTTTTGGTTTTAACTAAGTTGCAGATAAGATGCAGATTGTTAAATTATGTAATGATTCATTGTAGGAGCAGAAATAATAACAACATTCTATACTGCTGTGCCTCATCTCATGTTTTAAAGTACAGATTTGTTAAACTAGTTAAGTACTTATGTTATCTTCAGTCTGTCCCAGAAACAAATTATTATTGTGGTCAAACGTTTAAATGTAAATACATAAAACATATTTAAAATAATAACATGTACAAGATTATTAATCTATCAGTCTGTCATAGCAGTGAGATTTAGAACATTAATTTAATGGACATACCATTCTTTTAATCTGCATTTACAAAGACAAAAAATTCAGGTGCTACTTTGATGGAGAAGTTATTTCTGCAATACCTAGTGTGAGATGAGAATATTTCTTTTAAATAATTACCTTCAGAGAAACTCAAGGTGAATTTCATTATTAAAGTTAAAAAGGCAGTAGTAAAACATAACAGTTAAGAAAGCTGCTAATAGAGTTCAGCCTGGAAGTCTGTTCTCCCCTTTAAAACAGTGAAACAAAAAGTCAGAAAAGACCGTAACAGTTTGTTTAGTAAAGTTACACTGCTGTATTCCACTTAAATTTTCTTATTATTCTGCTAGAGGACTTTTTAGGATTTTGTTTTTCCATTGGTATGCTGGTTAGAGAAGTCATTTACCATTTTCATCATCTCTGAAAATGATAGAAATAATGCCGTTTCTTTTGACATGGGTGATGCCAAGAGCATGACATTCTAATAGGTAGTCTAATGTGACAGATCCTCCCAGTCTTCATGAACAGATGTGAAGTTCCTAAATCCTGTCAGATTCAATTCTGAAGTCAACAGAAGTCACTGATTTTCATAGGCTTTAGATCGGTCATTAGTTGTGCTCAGTCTGCCTGAAAAGCATCATTTTTGTGTTTCTTCTAAAATCATTTTTATTGACATGAAAAGATATCATTTTTCAAAGTGCTCAGTGGGAATAAAGAAATACATCACCTCTCGGTATTTTTTTGTCTTAAGTCAGTTCTTGCAGTTCAGCTACCAGAGGAATGGATATCTTTGTGTGTGTGTCTTTTCTGCAAAGCTGTAAAAGTTAGTGAGCCTTCAGGAAAGAAGCCTACCTGACAGACAGATAAAACTTGTCACCAGAGTCCCTGGCAATGGTCAGAATAAAAATTCTTACAGAGAGGGATCCAGAAAGTATCCATTGCTTCTGTGAGAATGTGTTTATATATTCTCTAAAACCTTTAGAAACAAACTGACAGTGCAAGTAGATTTTGATAATAGAGACTTGCTTATCTTTCTACTTTCCAGAAAAGAATTTAACTGTTCATGCACTGTGACTGCTCAGATTGCATGAGCAGCTTGCATATTCACCACAAAGTTAACTGGTCATCATGACTATTTTTCTGGAACTAGTAGTAGGGCAATTTTGTATTTCATTACCTCTTATGGTTATGTTTGTCAGATGAACTATTCTTTAGTGCCATTCCTCAAAATAGAAGTTTCATGGGATTATTAACCTAATCCTGAATAAGCTAATGAAAGCCTCTTCTGAGGTGTGTGGTTACTACAGTCCTAAATACATCACTTGAACAATAATTTATTGAGGTACAGATGCAGCTACAATGCTAGCTATCTTTCAGATTTCAGGTACAGTATGTTTTGAGACCTACAAGGCATCTATATTTCTATATACACAAGTTTTCTTCGTTAGTATAGCGCAAACATCTTTTAGATAAAGTGAAAGTGTTGAAGTATTTCCATGCATGCTTTAGCTGTGCTGCATATAACACAACACGTATATAATGCAGTACTAAATATTATTTATGTTTCACTTCATACTCTTCATAGGTAGATTTCAGCTGTATCTGTGTCCATTGCATTTAACTTCTCAACAGAGTAATACCCATCAATTTATATTTGTATGTCAGTCATTCCCAAATAAATTGTTGGTACTTAAAATTAGTTCCTGAGCTTCAGCAAGTCTATAATTCCTGGTTTTGCCAAATAATCTTGATTTTTTTTTTTTCTAGTAAACTATCCATATAATTTCTCAAACTGCATTTTTATCTTCATCATGGCCAAGTCCTTTTGCTCCAAACGTACACATTTGTAGCAGCACATAACGCAACATATACCAATGATCTGAGCATTCTTCGGCTATGCTGAAGAGCTCCCTGTATGTAATGTATGTATTTATCCTTTAAACCTAAAGTTTGTAAGCTTCACAGTCTGTAGAAGAAATGACAAAAGAAAATGTCATGTTTATTTCTATTTGTAATATCTAATCCTGTTTCTCTAAGGAGATTCTTAATTTTCATTCTCAGGCCAACAGTGACTATAAATACTGTAGTAGTACGTGCTTTTCACTTACAGTCAGAGGCCAAAGAATTAATGCTTTTATACTTTTTGAATTCAAAATAAGTGTCCTTGTATTTGAGAAGTACTGAATTCCCATAATCATCAGTGGACTGTTCAGCACCTCCAAGTTTGTGGCTAGTACAATTATCTAACTCTGAACTTTCTAGCTAGAATGAAAAAGATAGGTTGTTTGTAGGGAAAAGCTGCAAGCTTTTAAAAATCTCTGGGTTCTTATCACAGCCATTGAGTTAAAAATTGTCAAGTGTATATCCTCAATATATATATTTGGGGATAGGGATAGTAACTATTAATAAATTGAAGTACACTGAAAACCAAAGCACACCAGACATTCAGTAAGAAACTTAAGTATTGTTATACCGGATGGAATCCATGATCATGAGCCAGAGGGATAACAAATGTGAAAGAGAAAGCTTTTTACAATGTAGAGAGTTGGGATAATGTTTTCACTCAAAAGATTTAATTTTACTCCTGAAAGTTAAAAATTGTCTTACGTCCACCAAGGAGCTAGGGTGGGAGAACAAACAACAACTTTAGTACCTAAATCTCCTAATTATTCAATTTCTCTCTGTAGTCATGTCATCAAGTTCAGAGTTTATTATTTCATTTATTTTTGTACATTCTAGGTCTTAGTGATATTTTGTAATGAGTAATTACATACCTTAGGAAAAATATTCCCCATTATCAGTTTAGAGTATGCCACCTTTCTATTTTCTTGGCTTTCTTTTTGGTTTTGGTGCGAGTCAGCAATAACATGTCATATTACCTTTTCCTATGCAAGTGTTTCTTAAGCCTTTTGGAAATTACAAGTCCTTAAGATTTTTCCAGTCCAGAACGTGTTTCTAATTTAAGCCACTTGATAACAGTCTGCTTCTCCTGAAGACTTTGGCCCCAGAGACCAGCATGTTGCAAGCTGGAAACCTCTTTCATATACCACTCATTATTCTGAACAGTTTGTAACATGCCCCTTTACTTATCTGAAGAATCTGATATACTCCATTTATTCTTTTTATATACTCCATCTATACTCCATCTATTTCTTTGACCATTCATTGTGTCACAGTACAGTTTTTCTTCTCAATCTGACATATACTCGATTTACAAGACGAAGTTGTTATATCAGTGTTATTGGTCCATATTTTCGTATGCTTTACTTTTTATTTACTTTGTCATTGTTATTCTATTGTATTTGGAACTGCTGAAGTTCCTCAGTTTTCTCTTGGCTTGACTAATTAAATGTAGTGTTACCTGAAAATTTTGCTACCTCAGAATACTCTTTAAATTCAGTAATAGCAAGCCCCACTGCCAAAATTTTCCTCCAGTGAAAACTGCTTGTACTCACTCAAAAGTTGCAGTAGTATGATTTGTGACTTGAAAAACCTATATGATAGTCCCAGCACTCAGTAGATAGCACAGTGTCATTAAATTCTCAGTAGATTGCAGGGCAGGTTTGCAGCATGATCTAGAAGCAAAGCAGAGCCCATTTCTTTCTGTCTCCAGCCTGAAGGACTCCAAGCTCTCAAAATGTTTAGCTATCCGGGGTAGTTTAGCAATGAAGAGAGGAAATTTTGATTCATTACAAGACTCTGCAGTCTCGTTTCACAACTGCTTAATTTATTTACTAATCTCTCAAGAGATCTTCTGAAGAGCAGAAATATGTCTATTATAATACTACTGTACTTCCCAAAACTCTAAGGTTGTGACACTGCCATAACTATCTTTTAGATGTTTCGCAATCTACCAGTCAGTATGACTTTAGCAAATGTACAAGTAAACAGTTAAACTAGTAAGTATCTGCTCCCCAGTCCTCCTACATAATTACAGCTTTAGTGAAAGAATGCATATTTTTGCTAAGTAGCTCAGCAGCGTCACATTCAAATTCTTTCTGAACTCTTGGATGAATATTATTTAAATTGGATGATTTATGGCTTTTTAGATTATCAGGCGGGTTTTCTTGCACTTTTTCCTGTGACATTTCACTTTGCAAGCCAGCAATCCTTATTATCTAAAGAAAGCAGGTTTGGAATAGGTTTCACCATAACACCCTCTGTAGTAAAGAATGATGCAAAGCAACCAGTTAGTCATTAGCATTGTCATTATCTTTCTTAATTGCTCCCTTTTGCCCTTGAATATTCACTAGCTTAAACAACAAGAAACCCTTAATTAAATCTTTGTTCTGTTAGCTTTTTTTGAGGGAGGGTTAAGCTTTTCAGAATCAATTTCAATCCTTATTTCTCTCCTCCAAATTAGATTTATGTATTCTTTGTCTTCAGTAAATTTTGAAATGTTTTCCCCCAATAGTCTATTGGATGTTGCCATTCAGTCAGACTTTTCTTTATTCTTCAGTGGTTCTCTTTTAATTCAAACTTCTGAAATGCTATTGATGGCATCCACAGCACATCTAATGATTTTAACTTCTGATACAGATTTCCTACCTTTTTTTTATTCAGTTGTAAGTTGCCTTTCCAAATTTAAGGTTAATTCCTGGGGCCTCTCCTTCTCCTGTAATCATAGGTATTATTTAATAGCTTGGCTGTTACGTATTGAACTATTACATGATGCCTCTGTCTTGTTCCTTTTCTTAAAGCTTGGTCTGTCAAGAAATAACTTAAAACATTAACATTCATCCTATAGTCCAGGGAACCAAAATTATTTGCTTGTAAAGTAGATACAATGCACAACAGTTGCATTTGGTAGCAACTTTTAGTTTCCCATCGATTTTAAGATACAAACTGATCTTAACTAATAGAGTTCTGGAAACCTGCAGTAAGATGTGAATCTGAGAAAAGCTGTTCTTCTCATGCTCACCACAACAGGTAATTCTGTTCCTTCTGGTCATCTGGCAGATCTTAAACTCTGAAACTGTGTATTCACTCTGCAATGACAGCCACCTATCCTTCATAAGAAGGGTAGATATGCTTATGTCTTGCAACTTATCAATGAGCTGGATGAGATCAGTTACCAGCTAAGAGGAAATAATATGTTTCAACATCCAGAACTTGTTTTGTTCATTCTGTCTTCAGTTTGCTTTATTTTGTTTTCATTATAGTTCTGGCCAGGAATAATGGATGAACTGTCAGAGCTGAGAGAATTCTATGACCCAGACACTGTGGAGCTGATGAACTGGATTAAGTAAGAGGATTTTTTCTCTATTTAAGTTAAATGCTATTTGTGTAGATGTAATGTTCTTAGTTATAGTGTTATCCTTATTTGTCACAGCTCATCAGTGAACTCTGGTGACCCATGGAGATAGTTAAGGATGAATGGGCTATCAAGAGGTTAGCATATTAACGGCTGTGGAGAACAGCTATATGCAAAGTCCCCTAGACTGCTCTGCTCTGGTTCAGTATCATGCTGCTGTATTGCATGTGCTTCAGGGAACCAGCTGAGTCCATTTGCTCCCATAAGCAGACAGAGTTTTCCTAGCCGAAAGAGGTCAGTTTGGAGGTGTCAAGCTTCTTCCATCATATTGTAGCTACCTCTTTACATTAATAGATCTTTACAGTGAAATAATTTTATTTTTATTTTCCCACCCAACCTGGTGTCCTTCTCTTTTCAACTTTATAATTTTAAAAAGCTTAGAGGTACAGTTGTAGAGCTGGAAAATCTGTACTCTACAGTCTGTTTCTTGAACTTTAAAATAATCTAAATTGTTTATATTTATTAGAATTAATCCCAATATGTGTTCTAAACTGTAAACAAAATATTTGTAATTGAACTTGAACTTGCCACGGCTAAGCATAGGTGCAAAGTCTCTTTCAGGAGTACGAGTTAATCATTTCAATCCCACCTCATCACTTCTGCTTTCTCACAGAGCATAGGAAGGTATTTTTTAAGTGGAAATAGTTTGGAATACTGCATGTAGAAGATCCTGAGAAAAAGGGCCAGGTAGGATGTTCTCTGGAGGACTGTGAGTTTAAGGGGTATGTTCTCTATTAACATACAGTAACCACTAAAAACTTTCAGGTTAAGTTCTGAACAGAGGTATTCCTGGCACTTGTATTTATTCAGAACTGTGACAAAGATTTTTTTTTGAAAAAAAAAATCAGTTTCATGTTCTGGAGGAAAACATTCTGAAATTAAATCTGAATTTACTACATTTACTATTGAACTATTTGAAGTATTTCCTTGGAGGCCTGTATTGTGTTTTTATATGCAATGAACTTCAGTGAAACCAGTCGCCCAGCCTATTCTACCCATAGCAACATTTTTACACTCCATAATGTTGTATTTCTTTAATCCTAAACTAGAAGGAGTAATTTAGAAGTAAAATATATTACAAGCCTTCACTGACTTATTTTAAAAGCAGGCCATGTTTTTTTCCATCATTTAGAATCTTTGCAGCCATATTGACATGTTTTTGTGACTAATGTTTACCAGCCAGTTCCATTTAGCACTACCGTTTTATTAAAAAATGGTAAATGTCTGATAGTTCAGGTCTCCTGTGTACAATATATGGAGTTATATATAGATTTATACATAAAATATCCATGTGGAGTTATTCCCAGCCGTGAACTGGATTTAACTGGATCCGATGAGAATAATTTTTCATATATTCTTAGTGCTGAGAATGCTTGTCCTCTTTTCATTTTAAGTCATGACAGACAATTACAGAGGGAAATTTTCTACTTAGAATTTATTATGTTTAGAAATATTATTCATGTAAAGAAGAGTTAGTTGTCTATACTTTAAATACAAGTCAACAAAATTCATGGTAAGTTTCTCGAAGTGGGACAGATTTTCTTAAGATTTGATGTGTAAGAAAAATATTTTACTATACTAACACTTGATAATTCTGCTGTTGTTAATGATCTGTCAAGGTGGGTGTCAGGAACTAATCATTCATTATTAAAACTCAGTATGAGAAGCTCTAATTTGTCATGTATAGCAGTGAATTAGGAATAACTCATCTGTCTTGCAATCTCTCCACAACAAGAAAACCCTTCTATCTGCTTAGATCTAAATGCATATTAACTTGTCCAAATATACAATCTGAATAATAGACAACTGTTAGTCTGTCCATTGTGAAGTGTCTGCAGATGAATTTTTCACTCTTCCCCTTACTAAAATTACCATAGCATTTTCAGGAAGATATACTGGTTTATATCTTTACAATAAAGTTACTGCATAGTATTGGACTGCATCTGTTGCAGAGTGCAATTTTTTACATAATTATCTTGCATATCCCAGTCTCTTGCTTTTTCTTACCCACCACCTCATTTTCTTAGCTTTTTTTAAACAAAAGAAGTCAAGAAGGTCCTGCCAGTGACCCAGGGATAGTTCACAGCTGTGTTCCCAGATGGGAGGTATATTAAAATTCTTAGTTTTGGTCTTTCTCCCTAAGACAACAGGAACAACATGCTCATTTGTGAGATGGGGAAGAATATCAGTAGAATGAGCAAATCAATAGCGTGAACTTCCCTACTCTGTTTACTTCTGGTAAGTGTTTAAGAAGCAATGTCTTCTGCCTTTAAAGGGGAAACCTGTCTAGAATTGTGGAATATTTCATAAGCAGTTACCAAAAATCATAGAAAAGCTTCTTAGAAATCTCAGACAACAGCCAAAACAGTGGAAAAGTTAACTGAGACTGAGATTTGGCAGAGTATAGTTGTATGTCAACTGTATTTGAATCAGGTGTGGGGACAAGCAGGCAAATTTTTATATTAGTGGAAACCCCACAAATTTCCAAAAAGCTCCTAAGGTTACAAAAATGGAATACTTGCATTTCAATGGTTCTTTCATTTAGTAATTTGTATTAATGGCTATATTTTAATTTCAAGCCAGCTATAAATTTTAACTCTTCACTCTTACTTACGTGCCTGATTTTCAAAGGTAATCACACTGAAATCAACACATATTCCAGACTTTAAAGGCAATATTACACTTTTTTTTTTTTTTAATTATTGTTCTTAAATTCTTGGGCTTATCCTTTGTCATTGACTGATTTGTCAGTAGAATTCAGGCATGAACTTGATAGTGCCTGAGAACTAGGTTTATATCAACTGTGTAGGTGCGCTCCTTTATGTGAACAAAATATGCATGCATAAAATTAAGGCTGGAACTAACAAAAATGCATCTTGTTGCTCTTTCGTGGTGGCTGTCGTTTTCCATTTTTGCAATTTTCAGTCTTTCCAAACCAGAGGGAAAAAAAAGAACCATGACAGTTTGACTGAATATGCTTTACTGCCTATCATTTGCAGCTAAACCTGTAATATTTTAATATAGCATTCTGCAAATAAAAAGACTTTCTTTTAAAGGAAAAAAAAAAAATCTAACGTGGCATATTTCAGAACCCCTTTTCAGAATCTCCTTTTCTCAAACCCTGTTGCTTTGTAGATTCATATCGCACCCAGGCACTAGTAAAGGAGTAATCTGATATTTGTTAGATTTTATGGCTTTGAAAGCCAGCTACAGAGTTCAACTTTGGAGGACTTTTAATAGAAAGAGCAATTTTATTTCTAATGACGTAACCTATAATTGCAACGTTGGCCATTTCTGCAGGGCTTCCTTAAAACCAACTCACGATAATTCTTTAGCAGCTTAATAAGAGAAAAAATTACTAACACTTCTAGAGTCTGTGCAAGTTAGGCATAGACCTGTAGTTCCTGTAAAATCCTTTTATTTTTAATAAGTTGTTCTTTAGTGTTTACATAATTCTCTAAATTCTTAAGTGTAGGTAAAGAAAAGCTTCATACAATATATTATAGTGCTTAGTTTACCGATTAGTTCAGCTGTAATTAACTTGTTGAAAGCTTAGAGCTTCAAAAATAAATGAGATTATTTGTTCAAAATGCCATCAGGTCTGCTTGGAATGACATTTAAATTATATAATGTAAATCAGTTTGACCTGTAAGTCCTTGTCATTATTTAGTGACATTTCATACAGAATAAATTGTTTGCAGGTGGGGCAGTGTGGTATGGAGCTTGGCAGAAAGCTATAAAAACAAATTATCCTTTCATTTTATACATCATTTGTTCAGACATTTGTAAAAATTGCTTCGTTTTTCTATAATAGAGCAGTGTCATTTAGTGGTTTGAAGCACATTAGCTGCCTTGGATACAGACCACAGCAGTTAGTGTCTGACTCAGGTAGGAGTGTTAGAGAAGGACGCTTGCATGAAACGTAGAAATCATCCTGTACCTGAAAAATGTTAGTTAATTGTCATGTCTCCCTCTAGTGGCTGTTTCAGAAGATAAATGCTCAGTAACGGCCACCAGCTGAAGTTCTTTAAGATGTAGTTAAGGAGGGCAGACATTGTATGAAGCTCAGCGACACCTCCCAGCTTCCAAGTGTCTGTCCACAGCAGTGAAATCCAGTGCCAGGTTTGTGTTCTTGGCATTGCCAGTAAAGCATGGGGAAAGAGGGCGTCCAATAGCTCTGGTAGTAGCATGTATTGGTCTGGGAACGTCTGAGTTGGCCCCAGTAAAATATGGACAGTGATACGTCTTAAGGTGTATAATTTTCTAGGACTTCAAACGTATAAATCTGAGTCTCATCCACCTTCACCTGGAATACCTGATTTTGAACTCCATCCAGGACCAAGGCACATAAGCCAGTTTTTTGAAAAGCAAGCGAGGGGCACTGGATTGCTTTTAAGATATAGGAAGAGGAGGAAGTGCTGGCAAAACTCTTAATACCTGATAAATAAAGAATGCCCTCAGCTATATTTCACCCCTTCTGGGCACGAGTGAATGCTTTTAGAACAGGGAGGAGTTGAACCCTGCATCTTCTACATTTTTGACAAGCATTTTTACCAGTAAGTTATGGGAAAAGGGCACTATCGCCATTTCCTCCAGCTTTCTTTTGTAAGAAAAGAGGCTGCAGGCTGTTTCCTGGGAATGGGGTTTTCTTATTGTTGTTTTCTTGTGGTTTTGCCTTTGGTACTTGTTGTAGTTTTGTTTTGTTTTTTTTTAAGAAAGTTTGATTCTGCAGGTTTGCATTATATTGGGTTCTTTAGGAGTCAGAGGTGCAGGATTGCCCTGATAAGGCCAAGTCAGGAGATAAGTATTGCAGAGCATTATAAAATTTGAACTAATCTTGAACAAACGCAGAAACAGACTTTCCACACTAGAAGTTTCCCAGCCCACAGAAACTGTTGAAGGTGCTTTGAGAATCATCATTTTCATTTAGGTGTCTAAGCTCCAACAAGTCCCTTTGTGAATCTAGTCCACGTTCTTTTCAGCTTAGTCTAAAGAATTGTGCTTTCCTGCAGATTCAGGGATGAGTCCTAGCTGACAGCCTGTCAGGGCCATTACATTTGCATAATATTAAATTCTAAGATGAATTAATTTCTTTTAATGAAACATTTACTTCATGACACTTGTGGCTTTGAATATTTTAAGTAAAAAAGAAATTTTTAGAAGAGATAGTCTATCAGTAAAGTTAAACTGGCCTATTAAAAAATGCTATCTCTGTCCTTCCTAGATGAGATTAATGTACCAGTGTAAGAATTTTTAGGAAGGGTTTGTAATTATTAGTTCATTTGCTAAGCATAATCTCTCGAAAGGCGATATTAAATTTAATACTTGTCTCTTAACATTTTCAAGCCAATCATGGAGCTTGAAGAAGACTGAATTCATAGCTGCAGTTTCAAAAGGCTCCCTAAAGTGCAGCCAAAAGTGTCACAGTTATTTGACTACTATAGACGCCGTATGTGCATGTATGTGGATGTTAGGCAACTATTCACATTCCTTTCTAATTTCATTTTACTTGATTTAATGTATACTTCTTTCTGTTGTTTTAGTCTTCATAGAACTTTTCATGATTATATGCCTACTAAGCACTAGAAAACACTTAAGGGATACTATGACCATTTTTAATTAGCCTAATTATAGTAGTCTCTGTTGCCTGGCATTTTTACTTTATCTTTTTGCTATGCCCTTCTGTTGTGACTTTACATATATTTTAGATTGTAAACTTCTTGGGGGGAAGGTGAGCAAAAAATCACTTTTTCATTATAGGTATTTAAACAATCCTGAGATACCAAGACCGTTATTTAGATAACAATTCTAGACATTGGCTTTGAATTTCAGATGAGATCACAGTACCAATAATTGACAGCATTTCTATCTGGCATCTTCTGCATCTCCCCCGCCCTGCTTTTTGCAATGGGGGTGACTTTTTTCATAATTTCTCTCCCACAGTTGTCATAAGAGGAGGATTAATGTCTCACATAACAAAGTTTTCATTCCAAGTGAATGGTGAATGCCAGGACAGTAACAAGAAGTTTTAGCATTCAGATTAAATAATCCATTTTATATAGAATACCTTATATATCAGACACAAATCTAAGTCACAATAAGTTTCTTGAAATATTAAAAGAATTAGAAATTTAGAAATATTCAGAGGCTATATGAACCCAAGAAATACATGAAATATGGAAGTAGTTTGAAATTTTCAGGATTATGTTTTCCCTAAATTCCCTCATAGTCCATAGTAAATCTTTTATTTGCAGTTAGAGAGTATTATAGTGATTTATCTGCTTCATATTTGAAGAAAACACAGTTGCTTGAATGTTTGCTCCCTGAATAGAGGAGAGGCAGAAAAATCTTTTTTCAGTCTTTTTTTTCCTTCTGATCTGTAACAAGCAATGCAAAAATGCCCCTACAGAGAATTCCTCAGACTTATCAACATTTGTTTAGGTCAAACACTCCAAACACAGCAGTGTTTGCTGGGAGCATGCAGCTATTAGCAGGAGTCAAACTGTGCACTGGACGGACCTTAACTAATCATCCCCATTATGAGGACAAGAATCTGAGAGAGAGAACAAAACAGGTAAGAGTATTCTGATTGTTTCAGCTAATTCTTATCCGTATCCGTGGCTCCATTCCAGAAAACACATGCAATCTCTAATGGCACATTGCAAATGACCTCACGTGCTTTACTCATTGAACTAACTTATTTTCAGATACAGTTCCAGAATTTAATTTCTTCTGTGAAACTTGTGGTACTTTGGGCATCTGCTAACTCACTTCTGGCAGCTGGTGTATGTCTGAATAACTGTACCTAGGTACTCACGCTAGTTCTGAGTGAACTGGTTTGGGTACTGTTGGCCTTAATAGATACTGCTGCCCAATTGGACTGTTAAACCCACTTGGAGCATTTTCTGATTTGCCTGATACTCCCTTCAGTTCCCAGACTAGCACATAACATTTTATATAGAAACCACCTTGAGAAACTCAACACAAAGCTGGAGAGATTGTTTTAAACTATCCTTTCCTATAATTTAGACATCATGAAAGTTTTACAGGCATCTACCAAGGCCTTTCTGCAGGCAGCAGCACCATCCAGTATTTCTGTAGTCAGCAGCAGTACTATTGTGCATCATAGTAGCCATAACATAGAAACTCTAGGTGGCTACTGAATAAAGCATTTATTTATTTATTTTAAAAATATTTCATTCAAATCACATGGATTATCGATCTCAATTCTTTCTCTGGTTCAAAATAAAGGAATCTTGAAAGAGCAAACAAAGAAATAGTGGTAATGTGTCTTACAGCTTAGTTTTCTTCTGTAGATTTATCAGATCTATGCCAAGAGATCTCCTGAAGATGTTTACAGAATACTGCGATCCTTTGGTACAGACTATGTGATCCTGGAAGACAGCATTTGTTACGAAAGAAGACACAATAGAGGCTGTCGGTTACGTGACTTACTTGATGTAGCTAATGGCCATGTAAGTATTATGTACAAGATTTATAAAGAAAATACATTTTGCTTAACTTCTTTTTGAAATACAATTACGATTTGAAGTAGCTTGGGTTATTTCCACTTCATCGTGAGTGTGGGAAGTAAAATCTAATGGAGCCTTTAGACATTCTCAAATTGAACACTGCTTGCTTGTAATGGTATTTGATAATAAAAGAAGGAGGAACTCAGCATGGGCAAAATAAGTAATCACTTCCTGATGAGCTTCAGGTTAGCAGTACACGAATAGTGTTCCCTTTCAGAGTGTAATTCACTTCATAGCTTCAATTCCCTCAGGACCAGTGGACGGTTGTATTTTACTCCACTGTGTCAGGGGAGTTTTCAAGCATTTCTGGGGCTAACATGGAACCACAGCAGACCGCATAACCCAAAGCAGATATGTACCTCTGACAAATCAGCTTTATCCGTAATAGAGACAATGTTACTATAAATCTTACTGTTTTAACCTCCCGCTTGTTTCATACAGTCATTGTTAACAAGTCTGGCCAGCTTGACCCTCTGAATGTATTGTCGAGGTTGTTTTTAGTTTCTTGTTATTGCCTGTAACTGTGAATTGGCAAAAGATATTTCACAAATCTGTTCAATTTTATTACAGATCATGGATGGTTTGGGAGAGAATGAACCTGATTTGAAAACTTCGTTGTATCCTCGCTTCTGTGAGGAAATTAAAAAAAACCTGCCTTCTTACACCATACACTTCACTAGAGTGTTTCAAAACAAAACATTCCATGTTTACAAACTTGCTAAGCATAAATAACATTTCCACCCATGGCTTCAAGTTCAGTATTTTAATCCTAGGACCCATATTAGAAAACGCAGAAGAAGTTTACAAACATGTTACATTAGTAAGACATTTTACATTCTTGCTTAATTACTGTGATTCTTATTTTTTTAGACAGTTTAGTTTTGATAACATTCTTGATGTTGCCAAAATTTTCATAGATTCATAAATAAATGCTAGCAGGGACCATTTTGATTATAAAGTCTGACCTTCTGAACACCTAGGATATAATTGCTTTCCAGTTTTAACTGATTGAAAGACACTCAAAATGAGCAGCCTGCATGACCACTGCAGAATAGCTAGCCTATGAAGTTCTGCTCAGCAGTTTGGATTTTTACTGTAAAATGATAGAAATTCAATGAAAGCAGGCCACGCTGCTTCTATACTGAGTATGTATTACCTTTGTGAATCCTGAAAATAGTTGCAAAAATTAGGTTTTCTCTTACAATCTGATCCTCTTTGACAGATCCTTGTGCTCTTTCAGTGCCTCTTTTTTTAATTCTTTGGGAATGTATGCAGATATGATTTTCCAAGTTTGTGAGTGTGATTGCAGAATCAGTGAGTGCAAAATCAGCAAACAAGTTTGAAGAGTAAAACTTCAATCATTGTCCAGCATTTTTAGTGATACAGAAACATAATGTTTTATAACGTTAAGCATTTAATGATGGAGTGTTATGTATTTCTAATGAGAATAAAGGTTGGAGCATGCTTGATACATGTTGCATGTTTGTATCCTCATAAAATGCTCAGAACAAACAAAAAAATCAAATTTCTCAGCTTGGATTCTCACAAGACTATATTTTCTGTGTTTGCTTTCTGAACTGCAGGGGATCCTTTTTCTCCCCATGTGAATTCCAGGAGTAGGATACCAAAATTGGACACTGCCAACCTTACAAAAGACAAATTCATCTCTAAAATCA